AAAAAAWTTTYMAAMCCCCCYCATTTTACTGGTAAAAMTTTTTCAATRAATATATGAATATYTAATAGACTTCAGTTCCAATGTCSACTACTATGGCATCATCCTACATGAAGCCAAGAACGACCAACAGTYTATACAACCCATCCTCAGCCATTCCATCATTAAGATCATCTCGTAACAAGTCACCCATAAGAAATACTAGTCCCATAGGAACCAGAAGGTCAGTTAGTCCAMGAAGAGGAACAAGTCCTTCAAGACTTCGAAGTGGATCTCCACTCTCCCCAAGYAAACAGGTGAGATGAATTACTCATTAATGCCTGTAAAAGTAAAGAAATAGTTTGTGTTGTGTTGTGTTTGTGCTGTGTAGTTGTGAGTGGTCTATTTTAGTTGTATACTTCAAGCACTTATTGGAACAGTAGTTTCCAATGCAAATGCACCACGAGGCAGATCTCTAACCACAAGGAAAACTATGATGATGATGATGATGATGTATCCATATTTAATAATATTCTAGGGAATGACACGAGATCTGAAATGGGTAAAAATTGCACCAAAACCAATCACACCTAATGTCTACACTTTCCTGTTGTAGTAATCTCTCATTTATTTGTTTTTGTTATTTATCTCAAAACATAGGCTTCAGATGTTGATAGTGATACCATCCAAAGACAACGGAGAGAGCTTCAGTTGATGATAGGAGAACTAAAAGACAGAGACAGGTAGAATGGCATCTGAGAACCACAGAGTTCCAGAAAATTTCCATACCCCACCATGGAGGGAATTTGAAAAAAAAAATGTTCCCTTACCCCTCTGGAATTTCCAATTTTCGTCCTTAAAAACCTTGTAATTTTGTTTTTCCTCTGACCCCTCACCCACTGGGAATTTCTGATTTCCTCCATGGARGTATGGATATTTWCTGTAACCACACAATATTCTTTGTCAATACATGTAATACCCCTCTTTAGTTTGGGCGTAATGTTTTCCCTTTTCTGTCCCCATGYCATTCYCTAGAGTATCATTTCTTTGTTTAAYAGTTATGCATAAKAAGACACATGYAACAATYKAAAAAATCTTATTTTCAAGAGAATGACACATGGTCTGAAATGGRAAAMATTATGCTCACAATAAATATAAACAGCTGTAGGTCTATTGAGGCAATAATAAGTTTCCTGTGTTCTCATTTCTACCAATAATCCTTCTTTATTTATTCTCTCTGCAAGGGCAGATCCAGGGGGGGGGGGCAAACGGGGGCTGAAGCCCCCCCTTCAGCAGAAAAAAACAATGCTTTTTTATATTGTTTTCCGTTGTGTTGACGGAAGATCTCAATTAGCCTCCCCTAAACTCAACTAGCCCCCCCCTAAAATTTTGGCTGGATCCGCCCTTGCTCTGGGGGATTGCTTTAATGTTATTTGTTTKTGTTTAATTGCAAAACAGAGAACTAAATGAAATGGTACAATCTCATCAAAAGCAAATAGTAGCCTGGGAGGAAGATAGACAAAGAGTAAGTACAAAATGAACGACAACAAAAAGAGGAGAAATTATACTATGAACACAATTAAACAATAAAACACCAGAATTGATGTTGGCAGGCATTGGCCGCCCTTCTCACACCTTACCAATTACTTACTCACACTTTACCGATGCCCTACCAACACTTATGGTTGGCAAATATGAATTATAAAAATATACCTGACATAAATGATTGTAACCCATGAATGTCACCATTAGGAGATAGGGATATTCATACTAATCATTTTAATTATTGATATAAAAATATTAATTCATTCATATATATATATATTAATTATCAATTAATATTTTTCAATCAATGATAAATATTTTA